AGTATTCAAGATGATTGATTCTTTATAGCAAGTAAATATCTGATTATCACTGAACTTTCTCTGCTCTTTATCTTCTTCATTGAATATAATTCTATATTAATAAATGATTAGCTAAGTTGATCAAAAAAATTTTAATATCTCACTGAAAAGTTTCAAATTCTTCTAAGATATCTCACTGAAAAGTTGATATATTTGCTAAAATCTAATACTACTTATCTTCATTTCTTTGAGAGTTCAGAACTTTCATGTTTTAATTACATTCAGCATCATTGCTCTACTGAATGAAAAGATGTATGATATTTTTATTCTTTGTTTTTATCATACTTGTAACTGTTTAATTCAAATTATCTTTATTTAAAGATAGAAAATATATTCATTTTGTCTTCAGATGCAGATGCTGCTCTGTTGACTGAATTTCCTTCTCATACATTTCTGCATTCAAATGCCGGGTTCAGTGACACCTTTTTGGCAGACTACTTGATGTCAGTGATGAGTTTGACTTCTTCTTGTCTGACTGATATTTACCATTGCTGTCATTATGTTTGTTCTATATTCAGATATATCAATATCAGATTTCTTTTGAAATCAGTGATTTGTCTGATTAAACCTATCAGATGAAAGAGTTCAGAGAGATCTAGTAGAGCAGAATTCATGACAATATTCATTTTCAGAATCTTAATAGAACCCCGATAAATTTGTGATATGAATAGAAATATAGTGATTTGATTCTTAATATTAAATTAATGTAGATTGTCACTGATTGCAGCTCTTATTAATATATTTCTTTTTGATAATTTAATCTCATCTCTTTATCAAGACTGCTCATTCACTTCATTTATATCTTTTCAACTACATAACTTTTTTCTATAAATTATATCAGAAAGCAAAATATCATGTCTGTTTAATTGAAATTTAAAACACTATCTACTATCTGTTTCTAGACAAGAATTCAGAGATGATCAATGTTCTTCATTTCTGAAAACTGCAAATGAAGATTTCACTGACAGTGATTCAGATAATAATACTCTCAGTGAAGAAGCATTGCTATTCTCAGTAAGTGTATCACTTTTGATATCTCTATTATTATAAAAACTAACGTTCTCTAAAGACAGAGTGATATAATAAGAATGCTACTGATAATGTTGAGCATATTGAGTGACTTTTGAAAGCAGCTACTGAGAAGAATATTTCTGAAAATAATGATTAAGAGAATTCTGATGAGTCAGTTACTGATAATATTAAAATTCCAGCTGCTGATACAATTACTGTTGCTATTACTAATTAATTTATTAATTCTGATTCAGTAATTGATATATCTCACAAACACAGTAACTTTGAAATGAATTCATTTATTCTGACAATGAGACTCTGAGCTGAAGAGTCAGATATTTCCTGAAAAAACTACAAATCACTACTATAAATTCTGCATTTATTGAAGAATACATCACTGATAAGTCTGCTTTCTGAAGATCTATCAACTCTGAAAAAGCAATGCAGAGCATAATTTCTGATTTTATCAGTCAAGAAAATCTCAATTTCAATAGTATCATTAATATAAATATCAACTCTGAGTTCTACTCAGAAAAGTCTCACTGAATTCTTCATGAGATTACTCTACTTTTAAAATCTGATTCTCTTGATATCTGCTCTTCTCAAATCCCCAACTTTCCAGTGACAAATGCATATAGAAATGGCAGAAATTGTCAATAATTTCACAGAGTTATAACAATCTCACAGTTGAAGAAGATCAGTCAAATATTATTCTAATGAGTTTGCATGATATTTATTAAATAAATTTATTTTTTCTTTCAATTTTATTCAGTATTGATGTGAGAATCTTGAATGTTTTTACAAATCAGAGTTGAATAATATATCTCACATTGAGAGAGTGCATTTTATCAGACATGATTACTGATATTCAGACATAAGATCTCATATAATAGTTCTGAAAGTTCAAGAAGCTGTTCACTATACTCTGCAGACTGTATAAAGATTATTATTCTTAAATTCATCATTTAGTTTCTTTGAAATAATTGCAATGAAGAA